TATTATTATCATCATCCTCATTTCTGACACATCAATATTAGCCCAGTATTTAATGGCTCAGTAGTTTTAAGGCTACGTCTTTTGTTGTTGTTGTTGTTTGTTTGTTTTTTGTTATTGTTTTGGGGGGTTTTTGCGGGGGGTTGTAAATTAAGTAATCTAACACCCCCCGGGGAAGTGCCACTGACTGTAGTGTCTTTAGGCCATTCCCAAGGGGGGAACATTTCTCGTTCAAGCATAGTAGAATCGTAAATGGACTGACTCATGTCACGCTCATAACTGTGCCTGATCTACAACAGGGAACTGCTGCTTTTTCTTTCCTGATCCTTACTATTGTCATTTCCCTCTACTTCTTTTGTATGTTTGCCACTCTCTTGAGACCTGCTATTTCCCGGGTGCCTTGATAGTCGAAGCAGACCTTGTGCTGTTGAAGCTAGAGAGGTCAGCAGTCTAAGTCTGATTCCCAGAAAAAGACTTCTCTGTTGACACCCACCCCATGGCGCTCATATGACTTTATTCAGTTGCGAGCGCCGTAAAACCCTCTACTATTAAAAAAAAAGTAATCTAACCATGGTGGGAGGGTGCGGTGGCGGAGCGGAAAGTCCGGGTTCGAGCCTCGGTTCGGACACGGATTTTTATCGCCCTCTCCTGCTCACCCACCATTGGTACCTGACTTGGAGTTGGGGAAGTAAAGGCGGCGTGGAAAGGAACTGGCCTCCCTACCTCAATGTGCTGAAGGCCCAGGAAGTTGTCTCACTAACATGGCAATCCCCAATGTCCGGATCGGATGCGGGAACAACTTTACTTTTTACTTTTTAACTATGGTGATTAATGAAAAAGCGACAGCAAATTGAAACGCATGCAATCTCAAAGATTGTGAAGATATGAAAGAAATCTGACTCATTGTAGAATCTATATCACATTTAGTCAATCTAAACAAACCCACTGTCAGCCACTAATCGCTGAACTGAAAGCAACTCAGTCTGGCGGCACATGCAGTCAGTTGGAAAAAGAAAAGAAAATAGATTAAAACAAACAAAAAAACTAACACTCAACTACCGTTCTTGTTCTTATAACAAAATCCCCACGCAGACTAATTAAATACTAATGATTACATAGAAAACACATCTTTATATTTGTCGTATATGCACGAAAATCGAGACTCTTTAGGGTTGTTGTTTTTGTGTTTTTTTTTGGGGGGGGGGGGGGGTATTCAAAGGCACATGCAAAAAATCCGGGAAATTCGCCACTTAATTTCTCTGAAATGAGGTCGACAAGTTATCCTTTTAGTGTTGTCCGGACTACATGTATAAATATGAATCCTTCTTACGCCTTCACAGTAATTGACACCAAATTAGCTTTCTCGTTTAGAAAAAGAAATTGAAATGAAGTGTTCAATGTGCAGATTACTAGAAGTTTTACTCCGTCAGGTTTCTAATCTTGTCAATTATGGCCATCCACAGACGAAACAAAACTCAGAGCCCCTAGAATGAAATTAAGATCTTTTGATAAGAAAAGTTTCTTGTTTGTTTTTCTATTTTTTTAAAAAGTTTTGGCCCCAAAATCTGGAACTCCTTGCCCCAGGATTTCAGAGAAATAACAAATCTTTATACGTAGTGATTGCTCAAAACTCATTTGTTTAATTCTTAGTATAGTGTGTTAGTAAGTGCTGCTATGTTGTGTTTTTACTACTGTCCTTACGTGTAGATATACTTAATGTATGGTTATGAAAGTTCTCCTTTATGAGGTTGAACTAGTTTTTCTTGCTACTGTGAAATAATATATGTTATCTTGTGTTAATCGATCAGTGATCATGTGGTTGATGTAAAGCTCTCAGAGCTTCTAAAGTATGGGATAGAGTGCTATATAAATGCAGTCTATTATTATTATTATTACTAAAATTATTATTATTATTATTATTATTATTATTATTATTATTATTATTATTATTATCATTATTATTTTTATTATTATGATTATTATTATTATCATTATTATCATTATTACTTTTATTATTATTATTATTATCAAGGTTGTCATCATACAACACGATGGTAGCTCCCCCCAGGAACACTCTCCTCGCCTCTCCTCTCCTCTGCCCAATGGTCAGCCTAATCTGTTTCCGTCTCATTGTGTGGATGGCCCAGCTTTGAATCCTTATTGAGACATTTTTGGATTTGGATTGATTGGGGAGGTTTCAAGGATTCCCATTCACCAAACTGGGTCGTACGTAAACAAGAGATAAACTCAGAGGTCCCGTTCATTTACTGATAGTGTATATAGGGCATTTAACTCATACCATGCATTGCCTTGCCCCAAAGTGGTGTTAGAGAATTAACTTGTGATATGGGAGCCATCACATCCACATCAAAATAATACATTGCTTTACCTCAAGTGGAGACTAAATTGGTGACATTATGCCCCCCCCCCCCCAACAATGCCAAACATTGTCTTTCCCCAAAGTGGTTGTGGAGGCTGAACTAGTGACATCACATCCACACCAATACCAAACATTGTCTTTCGGATCCTAGTGTTTGAGACTGGACCAGTGACATGAGTACCCTTCCTTTCAAATGCATGACAGATGATTGCCTCACCTAAGGCTCCACCCCCACTGGAACATTTTCCACACGTCGCTCGGCTGTGTAAAGCATTACGTCACTTGGCGATGAAGAGAGACAAAGGGGCAAAAATGCCTTGCGGCTGTGTGACGAGGGCTAGTTTGTGCCAGACCTAAACTGGTGTTGAAGACTGAACTAGTGATATGAAAGCCCGTCACTTCACACAAATACTATTCAATACCTGATCTGTATTGAGAGTGCCTTAAAACTCCCACTATAACGAAATCTAAAACTACCCTGTCATACCATACATTGCTTTTCGGAGAAAGATATTGGTGGCTAAAATAAACAAATGTCCTCACCTTCACAGAGTCCTTTCACCCGATGGTATCCCTGTGTACACTCACAACTGGCGTTGCCACGAGTATTTCTGCAGGTCTCCAAACTGCCACACACGAGGTCACCCGTCTCACACTCGTTGATGTCCTTCTCACAGTATTTGCCTGCACACGAGAGAGCAAACATGTCAAGCAACAGGACAAAACGAGTCATACGTCACGTCGCACTCAGTTGTTTCAAGATATAGGTAAAGCCTGGGTTTTCTCAAACTTGTGTGAATCTGACTGCGAAACGTCATGTGGTTACAGCTTTGGAACCAAAGCATCTGTATTACATTCAAACTGTTTCACCCACTTGTAAGGCTTGTACATATCTGTAATATTAGTTTTAGTGGAGGTTTTACGGCGCTCGCGGCTGAGCGCCAGAAGATTAGAGGTGTTACAAGAGAGTAACATATATAAACAAGAAGTAGGGGAGATAAGGATGATAGATGTTTGATAGGAAAGAAGAAGAAAACCACACCAGAGCACCCGCCAACCACCCACATATCTGTAATTTGATACCATAGTACCAATATACCCACAGAAAAAGACAGCCTGTCCCCTGTAATATGCAGACCCTAAAATCAAAATACATAACACAACATTGACAATGTTGAAGGCTTCAAATATATTGGCAGTACAGTTGTCGTCAAATGCCTCATGGATTCAGAAATAGCTTTACGTAGGAATAAAACTAGTGCATCCTTTGGAAGACTCAGAGCAAATGATTTGGAACTGCTGTGGCATTCGCACAGAGACAAAAGTTGAAATGCCTCAGGAAAATTCTTGGCCTCAAAAGGCAGGATAAATTATCATACACCGATGTACTCAAAATGGGCAAATGCAGAGAGTCTGAGTTCTGGGCTCACAAAACACTCAGAGACATTCTTAACTTCTCGGGAAGCATGCAATGCAAGCAGCAAATTAAACCCTCAAACACTAACAATCCGATAAAACATCTTTCCCTCTCTATAGCCGGGTGCCCATTCCCACCTGTGTGAAGTCAAAAAAATCCCTGTAAGATGCCTTTCCCAAAAACACAATGTCGGGTCCCTGGCGGTGTTTGTACTCAAGCCCAACAGCCTAATCACTAGACTACCGACGCCACTCTTTCATCACTTAAATCAGAAGTGTTTTCTTTGCATGCTGAAAATTTCTCAAGACCTCAATCACACCGTTAGATCTAGAAGAGCACAAAACTGTAAAAATATATAGCGTCGACATGCTGTTAAAATGTGCTAAGCCCAGAAGGTAAAATGTTACAGGAGAGGGGGGGGAAATCTATTTCATTCTTTTAACAATTGCACTTGCTTTACGTGTGAGGTTTGTTTGTTTGGTGTGGTTTTTTTCATTTGTTTTTTTCTGTTTTGAAAGGGGAGGGGGTCTACATTTAGAATTTGAATTTTGACAAAACATTCATTAAGCACATGCAACCGTCACCACATATAAATAAACTGTAATTTTTTGATTTTTTTCTTTGTCATTTAAAAATGTTGGGCCTAGTACTTTATAGCTACTTGCGGACGACAATAATAATGTACGTTACCTTCCAGGTAGTTCTACAATAATTCTAATAATATACCTGTGAATCCTTTTTCGCAAACACAGCCTTTCTGGGGACTGCACTCTTCAGTATTCTCAGTACAGGCACAGGCATTACTACAGTTGTCTCCCCATGTCCCTTTAGGGCAGTCTGGTAGACAAGCAAGAGGGAAAGAAAACAGTTACTATTATGTCAAGGGTTGTATTTTTTGTAAATGTTTTTATGGCTCTTGCAACACAATTGTGTCAAATAAATGCAAAAGGTAAGAGATGTTACAACAGAGTAACAAACATAAAAAAGGACAGACAAGGAAAATAGATGTTTGATAGGAAAGAAGGTGCAAACCACACCAGAGAACCCGCCAACCACCTACAGGGGTTGTGTTCAAAGATATTAAGTTAGTGTGTGTGTGTGTGTGTGTGTGTGTGTGTGTGTGTGTGTGTGTGTGTGTGTGTGTGTGTGTGTGTGTGTGTGTGTGTGCGTATATGCATATGTATGTGTGTGTGTGTGCGTGAGTCTGTGTGTATGTGTGTGTATGTGTGTGTATTTGTGTGTGTTTGTGGATATATGTGTGTGTATGTGCGTATGCATTTGTGTTTACGTGAGTCTGTGTGTGCGGAATGTGTGTGTGTGTTTGTGTGTGTATATGTGTTAGTTAGTTAGTAGTATAAGGTTTTACGGCGCTCGCAACTGCTAAGGTCATATGAGCGCGCGAAACACAAGTTGTTCACCTC